GGTATGATTGTTGTGCTTTTAACTATGTATGGTTTTTATGTTTTTGTTATTCTATTTGTATTTGTATTTCCCCTCCCTTTTTGAGTTGTGAGCCACCCTGAGTCCCTTCAGGGAAAAGGGCGGCATACAAATAAAATTAAACCAAACCAAACCAAACCAACTAGTTAGAATTTACACTACTCTTACCTTTATTAAGCCATGCTGCCCTTTTGCTACAATTATTTTCTCCCCATAGATTTCAAGTTCCAACTGTTTTATCCAGGATACCAAGACAGAGTCCTTATGCATATTTAATACTTGAATGTTGAAGCTGGGAAGCTTTCCTGGAGGGCCACAGTATGAAACGAGGGTGTATTTGCAGGCCCCTTGAAAGCTAAAAGGAACACCGTCAAAAGTGACGTAGTTTGAAGGGCCATATAGTTGCATCAGGCCAAATGTCATTGGGTAACAACCCCGTACATCACCCACAACTTTGCACATTTCCTGAGCTTTGCAGGCTAGTTCCTGACATTCCATTGGGTGAGCAGCTTGCACGCAGATGCATCTTTGGTTACAAGCGTCCCCCAGGATCACTCGTTCTCCCAGCTGGTAATAGCGGCCATTCAGCGTGCAGCCACAGAGTTTCAGAGGTACGCAGATGCCGGCATTCAGGACATAGCCTTCCCTGCAGACGCAGCCCGGGACGCAAGGTTTTTTGCAAAGGGCAGGGGCCTGGAGGTTGGCACATGTGGCAGGACAAGCTGGGCCGCAAAAGTCGTAGTATTTGTTAACTGGACAGGTGATGCCTGAAAAGAACAAGATCCAATGGGTTTGGGAGTGCATCAGCCATCAGGCAAAACAATGCGCCCAACATATTTTTGTAACATACATCGGGTAGAATCTCCGGCTAGACTGGAAGGTGGTGTTAAGAAGGGATTGAGTTTAGAGTCTTTTCGCTGGAGAAAGTGACACAGTGACTTCACCCCAGAATCCCTGAAATCTTATCTGACCGTTCCCAGGGGAATACAGTCAGTCTGGTGAGATTCTTGTAAAACAGGCGACTAACAATACAGTTTCTGGCTGAGACTAATTCAGAAATAAAGTATATTCAAACTTTATTCATATAAAGTTTATGGTTGAGACTAGTTCCAGTTGCTGGAACCGAGGTGGTGCAGTGGTTAGGGTGCAGTACCACTTCAGCTGACTGCTAGTTCTGCAGCTCGGCGGTTCAAATCTCACCGGCTCA